TTGAGCGATAGTCTAGTATAGTATATTATAATATAATATATTATGTTATATTATATTATATTATATTATATTATATTATATTATATTATATTATATTATATTATATTATATTATAGTATATTATAGTATAGTATATTATATTATAGTATAGTATATTACATTATACTATATTGTACTATGTTATATTACAACTAGGTCCTTGGCTCCTAGGTCTGCCACCAACAGGACACTAGACATCATTGCTTCTTTCGGTAAGCTCTAGACATGATATTGAGTCCCCAGCGAACCGGCACCACGACGTTTAGGCTTTGTCAGTCAATGTAGCCATGTAAGGGTACTCGTACTGTCGTACTAGTATGTCAGCAGCAGCTGTCGTCGTCGTTGCTATCGTGGTCGTCCTTGTAGGCAGGACGAGGAGACGAAGGTGAAGGCATCAATCGCAGACTCAAAAGTACGAGGCGCGAAAGACGGAAGATTCGGCCTGGAGAGTGATTTACAACGAAAGGTGCCAGCGGATAGTCGCAGTGCTGACAACAGCCATCAGCAAAATGAAACCCAATGCAGCCCGACAGCCCTAGCCCTGAACAGTAAGACCAGGTAGGGTCACGCATCGTCATCGCCGACGGCTCGGAACGTCAGGGCTTCGAGGCAACTGTGCAGCACGAGATCTGCCAGGAATCCCCGTCTTATGGCCCAAGCACTTTTGGTTGTGATTTTGGGTGTCGGATACTATCGTTTACCTGCTTTGGGGCATTTCGGGTTTAGGGTAGGCAGTTCCTGAAAGCTCTATGTACAGGGCCAAGATTCGGGACTTGCGATTTGGTGGGCCTTCTTGAGCAGATGCCCCAAAAGCCTCGGCGGCGGCTTCCGCCAGAGGTTCAGGGCTTGAGGATTTTTGTTTGGGGTGTGGGGTGGGTCCGACATCGTCTCCACACTTCCCGAGAAGTCCTCTGTGGCATGGTGAGGGGTTACAACGTCACGTGAGAGACACCTTTTTGAACAAGCGCAATGAAAGTCTCAGCTCTGGGCCTTTAGTATTTTTGCCTTAGTAAGCAGCATAGCGTTTTGGGGCCCACTATAGTATAGTTATATTAAGGAACACCCAAAAAAGTATACGTAACTATTATTATGGCCCCTACAATATACAATCCATTCTCCTCATTGCGCGTCTTTTGCTCCGTCGCCTTGATATGGAACTTCCAGAGAGCCCCTTTACAGGACAGCCCCCGGTAGACCTTTTTCGCACCCCGACAGAAACCGTAGGGGACAGAAAGCCCTGCTAGGATGTCTTCTTGGTCGAAGTCTTCTCCGATGGCACCTTTCAGCAGCTTCACCGATCCGGCCTTCAGCTAAAACTAGACAGTGCTCAGGCCGTGGAGCAGCATATTCAGGAGGGAACACCCATGTTTTAATATGGGGGCCTAAATAATCACCTATATTATGTTGGGGGTTGCGCATTATAATTAGAGTATAGTATACCCCAAAACCCTATATTAATTGTTTAAAGGCCCTACATTGCATGGTTTGAGGTTTTAGGGCTTGCTACAGGTCTTGGAAATATGGGCTGTGCTTTAAGGTTTCGGGTTTGAGGTTAACCCGAAGTCAAAATGGGGGTTTCCGAAAATAGGGGACGCCAATATAGCACCCTAAATAATAGGATCCCTATTATAAGGACCCCAAAATAAGGTACTCCTAACTTTCTGAAACTCCCAAATCGCTTGTTAAGTTCATGTGCAGGAGCAGCTCCAAGCGCAAGCCAGCTTCAAGCTCCGGAAGGAGGCATGACTTCGATGTGGGACTTTCCGAAAATTTGGGTACCTTATTTTGGGGTCCTTATAAGAAGGATCCTATTATTTAGGGTACTATATTAGGGTCCCCTATTTTCGGAAACCCCCATGTCTGTTGTGATCAAGGTGTGCAGCGTATGGTTGTTTCAGTTCTGAGGACTTAAGCTTTGGGTGGTCATGTACCCGATATTCTGCATTTCTGTCATTTACCATCATTACGACACTATGATACAGAAGGTTCCCTGCACCCTTTAAACTGTATACGACCCCGTGTCACCACCAGTAAGGGCTGAGGGTTCGTTTAAGGGCTCCCTTCAGGGCTCCTTTGGGGGCTCCTTCGGGTAGCCAAGGGATCGCTATTTCGTCGACCCTCGAATGGAACTCCTTTCTGATGCCACGCTTTTCCTGAGTTTAGGCCCCCTTGCCATAAAGATGCATAAAGATGGTCATCTCAAGAGGGAACAGCTCAAAGTCGGAGTTCAGGCTAGGCAAGAGCATGATGCTCTCGTGGCTAAATGGTCCGAAGCCGGAGGCAGCAAACTGTTGTCCTCCAGTTGAACCCTAGACCCAAACCTTTGGATTTAAGGTGTAGAGAGCTTAGGGGTCTTGAGGCTTGCAAAGGCCAGGGCACGGGGACCTGAGGGCAGTATAAACCCCTTAAGCCGTAATAAGAGTTTCGGAAACTGGTGGGTCTAGCAAAAGCGCGAAGTCGTAGGATCCGGGACACCCCATAACGTCCCTCTACAGATGACACCCTGTGACGGAGAAAGAGAAACCCGAAGCCCTAAACCCTAAACCGCTTAAGGGTTGATAAACCTTAAACCCTAAACCCTGAGCGGCAAAACCGAAAAAGGTTGCTCAAAAAAAACTTTAAACCCTAAGCCCGGATAGCAGTACCCGGCCAGGAGAGGCGGCTTCAAGCAATCCGGGAGATGCGGAAAGGTGCAACGTGCTCTCTCCAGTGATCTGCAGGTCGGTATGTTTGGGGGTCTGTAGGGTGTAGGATTCTCGAGGTTTTGGGTTTGGGATTTTAGGTTCAGGGTTTTGCATAGAATCTTGAACTTGCCAGTTTCATGCTGCAGGTTTTGGGTATTAGGGTGTTGGTTTCTTTCAAGGGTTTAGGGTTCTGAGTAATTAGTTACAGGGTTTGGGATTTTGGGCTTGTACCACTGTTACAAGCGCCTTCATGTGGAGTGGGGTTTCTCGAAATGAAAGTCTGCCTGCCCCTTCAGAACCGAACGACATTTCTTGAAAGGCCCAGGGCCGGAAACTTTCGCCTTGCAGGCTATGCTTCAGGGTGAGCTTTGGGGGTAGTTGCGGTAACCCCAAAACCCTGATTGCGAAGTCGCTAGATGCAAACGATTAGATCCACAGCCCGAGACCCTGGCCCTGCAGGAGACGGCGATGGAGACGTTAACTTCCACATGCAGCCGAGTACGTCTCCCCAAGTTTGTTTAAACTGATTCTGTAGGATTGTAGGCACTTTGAAAGAACAATTTGAAGCGCGGAAGGATCTTGGGATTGCGATGGATATCCCAGGACGTGCAAACTCCACTTTCCCGAGGTCCTCGAACTCCGTAGGCAACGCCGCAACCCTCTACCCTCAGCCCACTAAAGCGTTACTGCCCTCGACCTTCCAAGCAAGATGGGCACCCCTGGTCGCTGGCGACATGCAGATGCCAACCTGCAGGGGAGTTAAATTAAATGGCTTACAACGAGTCGCAACAGCCCGTCGAATTGAACGGCCATTGGAGGCGCTTCTACCATCCGGCGATGTGTGTACGATAATAGGCAAGCCCTATAAACTCTAATCTTGTGAATCTAGAAGAACCTCCAGCCGGCATTATTTACGGAGCAAGCGGATTTCTCTACTCCGAAGGCTCATGAGATCTTTGCGCCTGCATAGGTTCAGCAATAGGGGTGGCACCCTTGTCGCCTTAACCCTAAACCCTAAACCCTAAACCCTATTATTTGAGGGTCCCATGGAATCTCTGGGCCTCTGGAGTCATGCTTTCGTTGGCTCCGACAGCAGTGCCGCACCTGGGATTCTCAACGAGCTCTTAAAACACATAGGTGTAGGTTAAGGCCGCGGATGCTTCAGGCTTGGTGCCGTAAGGTTTAGGGGTTGGGGAAGTTCCCAGGTGTGGAGTTTTGAACTGCGTGCCTAGGGTTGACAGGTGAGTTCTGGGCCAGGAGCTAAGCGTCCAGGCTCGGTCTCGGCCTGTCGTGGATATGTTTTGGGCTTAGGGTTTGGGCTTTTGGTTTTGACTCGAATATATAAAAAACCTCATAAGGCCCATGCACATGAATCGGAGACGGGCTCTAGGCAAGAAGCTGCCCATCAAAGCATATCCCCACACGGCTGTACAGAAGTTGCCGGTAGGCCCGCTAGAAAAGGAAACCATCCCTGCATGCTTTTTCGGATGTTCGGGCTGAAGATATCGAAATGTTTACACAGTATGACCACACATTTAGGGTTTTCTCTATACTCCATGACCCCACCTTTAGGACCCATCTGGCCCCCTGACTCCATGGAAGCAGCTGGCGGTTGAGGGTTTCAGGGAGCCTGCACGTCGCGGAAGACAAGCTAGTCAAAGCAGTTGCGGCCGACAGCAAGACCGGTCGAAACCTCAATGGCTTGCCATGCGGGGCTGCCAAGGTCCTAGACTTTATTCGGTTCGATTGCTTGGCTCTCTCTGCGAGTCGCCCTGAGGCTCATTATTACTATTTCTGGTCTATCCCTGATGCTTGCTATCATCATCGTCATCATGATCAGAAGCCTCATCATCAGCGTCAGCAGCCTCACCATCATCATCATCATCATCATGGGCATTTAGGTGTTTGGGGTTTAGGGTTTGTAAGTGCCAACTATGGTTTGCAAAGGTTCCGGTTATTAAGTTGAGTGCCAGTGTCTCTCAGATTTGGTTTATGAGGTCTAGGCCCTTGCTGCATTGACTGTGAAATCGTACGCCAGGATGTTGCGTTCGGCGCTGCAGCTTAACCTGATGACAGAGAGCACGGCTTCAGCCTATGCGGTTATTGCTCTCGAAAGGTAGCTTTCCCAAACCCCTTTTACACCCTCAACTCCTAGCCCGAAACCCTGTTAGCCCCACTAGAAGCCCTGAAGCCGGGACCCCATAAACCCAGACCATCCCGGACCACATCCCCTAAACAGCCTGTGCTTCTTGCAAGCTAAGTCCGCTTTGGGAGCTGCTGCCGAGTACGAAGGCATGAGCCTCAGTTAAAGGCTGGTGTGGTGCTTGCCTGGAGAATACTTTCATGAGAACCATGATGTGGACTATTGGGGTCATGATATATCATGGACCATATGTTGCCTGTCATTTCTGGTATTCAGCATCATGATAGGTTGCTTTTTCTTGTTGAGTTGCTCTTAAGTAAGACTGTATATGCTTGTCGTGGCTGTGATGTCTTCCTCCCGCTCCCGCTCCCGCTCCCTCTCTCTCTCTCTCCCTCTCTCGCTGTCTATAGCTCTCTTTCTGCTTAGGAGCTAAGATTACTGGCGCCATGACAGCCTTGCATGAGAGAAGTAGTCGATGCTGAAGCCAGGTCCCTTCCACGAACATTGCGGGTTTAGGATTTGATTTGGGCTTTCAGCACAATAGTGTCTACAGGGTCTACAGCTCTGCCGTGAAGGGTTTGGGGTCCAATTCACCCTTAGTTGTTCTGCGGACCTGTCCTTACCAAAAGGCAAGAATACAAGACTAAGAAAGGTCTCGTCCCCCAAATCCTGCTCTAGACCCAAAATAACCCTCAACTCTTTTAAAATCTTTAATTAGATAAACCACAACTCTTGCAGAATTTTAATTAGATAACGCTCAACTCTTTCAAAATTTTAATCAGATAACACTAAACTCTTTTTAAAACGTTAGTTCTAAATCCTAGATACCTCTAAACCCTGAACCCCCGAGGCCCCCGGCCCGAAAGCCCTAAAGGTCGAGGCATCACCGGAAACTCCCT